TGCTTATCTTGACTTAATCGTTTCAATTCTTTCATTTCAAGGTCATAATTCTTTATTTCAAAATGAGATGTGGAATTTAAATAGAACCAGACAGTGGTACTTGAGAACAAAAAAATCCCATCTTTTTCTTCCTTGGGAATTTGGAATTACAAGTGGAGCAAATATAGTTGTTTCTAAACCCGATTTAAAGAAGCACTTTGCCATTTCAGAGAATTTATCTCTTTCAAATGCTTCCCAGGGCATTTCAGTACCAGTTGCCCCTAGCTCTTTGCTTTCTATCTTCTTGCCCTGGCAGTGTTCAGTTTAAAGTATGGGTTAAATGCTCACAAAATTCCTTTGATCCAACTAGTGTTTTTGATTATTGAACTGTTTACTTTTTTTCATTTTTACTTTCTGCATCACTATATCCTGTCTACTTCTTCTTCGTCTCTGTCTGCTCCTTGCTGAGGTTTAAGGTCACCTCTTATCTCCCGCTCTCATTTCAACTGGACTGTGAGAATAGTCTCATAACTGGCTTCCCAGCCTCCATTCCCTTTCCCTTCCTAATTCTCTCTAAGTCTGCTTGCTCTTAGATGAATGCTTTAACATTCCTCCCAGTCTTACTCAGATCTCTGCTCTTGCTATCACCTGAAGAGAATTTTGTTATGCTTCCTTCCGTATTCACATGTGTTATGTTCTGTATCAGAGAAATTTCCATTTTCACCACGGTTTTCACTATCCTAAACTTATCTCTTGTCCAAGTCTATACAGAATCCCCATCTCACTTATTACTGCACATGAAAAATATTATTTTTCTACACTGAAAATGTATTACAAACACTGCTTTCTTCATGAATGTGATGTATAAACTATTTGAGAACAAGTATTGTGACTTAAAATTTCCTATTATATTTTGTGCACTGGCCAGTATACAACAGGCAGTCAACAAATTTAATGATTGACTTTAACACCTTCTGGAAAAAATATAGTTGAGAAAATAGCAGTGAGCATGTAGAAAAACAAACGTAGGTGGTTGTACATAATTTTACAAATTCTGTTTACATGGTAATTAAGTGGAGTGATAAATATTCTTCTTAAATTTCTCTTAGCTGATTTCAGTTTCTTTTAAAGGCAACTTTGATATGAAAGAGTTTAAAGTGAATGATTAAGCTTATCAAAGTGCTTCATATGTTTATCAGAGAGCCTTAATATTTAAAACTCTGACCGTGTATCAGGCATCTCACAATAAAAATGCATGAGTAATAGAGGAACTGGAGCCAGACAATTTTCAACATTAACTTCACTCCCCAAAAAAGAGTAACAATGATTCAGTGTTCCTATTTAGCTGATCACTATAGGACAACTTTCCATCTTAGCTTTAGCATCAGTTCATTACCTCACCTTGGGAAATGAAGACAAGAACTCTGAAGATTTATACGTGTAATTTTCAGGGTATTTTCTTTGGTCATTTATTATTATTATTTTGGAAAACACATTGTAAAAGTGAATAGTTTATATTCTCTCTCTCTCTCTCATATATATATATATATATATATATATATATATATATATATATATATATATGAATATGAACTTGCAAGTGTACATGCCAGAACAGGATGTTTGGTGTCTTTTCCAACTTCTCCAATTTCCTGCCTTGAGACAGGGTTGCTTATTGAACCAAAACTTACCTTTCAGCTCAGCTTCAAGACCAGTTAGGTCACAGAATCTTCATCTCTCCACCCTCCAATGATAGGTGTGCCTGGCATCCATATTCAGGTTTTTGCATAGGTGCTAGGGATTTGAACTCAGGTTGTCATACTTTTAGAATAAATACCTCCCTAACCCCCAAAGTGAAGCCATTTCCTCTTTATTAGTTTATTTAAAAATAAAATGCCAAAAGACAGCAAAGGATTTAGACCAGTGATTCTATACTCTTGTAAGCCCTATTTTAAAAAAATACAGTTGTCACAGATTTTCCTTCCTCTACTTGTCAGAGTCTTCTTGTTTTTGCTTGCAGTGTTCCAACTGATTACATTGCAATCATTTGGTTACTATTCATCTCCATCTCAATTCACACTGAAATCCTATAGATGTGTCTTCACAACTGAACTGTTTTCACTTCTCACTATAGCCCTCTAACAATTTTCAGCCGCACAATATTTATCTTCCATCCACAACCAAAACATCTTTTTTTTACATGATGGCACACTGGATTCAAACCTTACTGGAAGTTTGATGGCAACTCTGTGTCATAGTTCTGAATGAATTCTTGGTAGTAGGACAGATTTGGCTCTAATTCAATTAAGGTTTAGAGGCAGTGATGATATAACTTTTCAGAAAATACACAGTTACATTGTTATTTCTCTGGTTTGATCGGAGACAATAGTTATGAAACCTGCCCAGAAGTCATATTTTGCTATGTAAAATGGATGAACATGTTGCCCATATCTGTGAGCATTGTTTACTCTCAATGGAATGCTTTCATTTGTATATATTATCATGCTTTTTGCATTTTTGTATTTTTCATTCTGGTTTTCAGAACATTTCACCTTTAAAATTCATTTTGGAAATGTATTTTCACATACAATAACATAAAAATAAATTTGTTACGAGTGTGTAAGAACTGCTTGTAACCATGGTTCCTAGATTTCCAAAATTCAGTGAAAAGTTGAAAAGGGGGGAAAAAGCCTCATCATAAAAACAACTGGAAGCATATTTTGTGTTCTCTACTAAATACTTATTATACCCCATGGGCTATATCTTTCCTTTTAAAAAAATCTCAGATGAAAATTAAATTTTGAATTGCCATCTAGAAATAAATTTTTATAGATAGTATACACATTAGTTCCTGAAAATGGTAGAAAAGGTTTCTTGTCAAGGTCTGCAGCACAAGTGTGAATGCTCTGTTTCTGCGCACCTCCAAGCAGTGAAAGGACACATTGTGGCCAGCCAACTCAAATTGCTACCCACGTTTAATCATTGTAAATAAAGGAAGCAGAGAGGCCCATGTTATATTTTCAGAACTGGCATGCTCAATACAGAACTATTAGTTTAAAAATACGACTGAACATTCTATTTGAATTAATCTAGATTTCTGTGAAAAATAAAACAGTTAAAAAGTACAATTGTCCACTTAGAACACACAGCACTCATTTCATGCACATTATTAATTTAGTCATTACATGTAGCATTAAGGAACACCCAGAGTAAATACAACTTTGTAACACAGGAAAAACACTTGAGAATTGATACATTTTCATTTCAAAACACCTATGGTTTTTAGAGAAGTTTCCATTCTTGGTGGAAAAAATACATCTATGAAACGCCTACATACATTGAACAGGCCTCTTCAAAGGAGGAGCTAATTGTCTTGCTGTGAAGTGCATGTGTATCACTGTGAAACTTTCACATAGTCTGGTGCACAATGTATTTTCTGACCAGTTAGATATAGGAAAGCAACAGGGAATCAGGTATTTTCACGGAACAGACGAATTATGGGGAACCAATCATGGAAAGAGATTAGAGACAGGTCAAAGCATGTTTTCTCATATTTGTTTCTACTTTGGGGGTCTCACAATCACAAGGGGTAGACAAAGTCTTAATTTTTACACATTTTGTATATTGTCCTTGTTTATAATTGTCCAAGAATTTTCTGTTAAGAACCATTTACAAAGTTTCTGAATCAACTTTGATATGCACTTAAGAAGTTGACCACCACAGGTATCAAGTTGTAGATCACACAAATTAATTGTAAGTGCTGGAAAGACATAATCCTCAAGAAATGCTAGAGTAGGGGTACATTTCTTCCAGCCATTAGGAAACAGGCTATTGACAAAGATGTTCTGCCATGGTACAGTCACAGTTACTGCATGAGGGCAGGCAAGTTTACTCTATCAAATAGATTCTCTGAAGCACCTGGAATACAGATACTTCTGTGGGAGCTTTGTACGTAGCCGAAAAGATTCATTGTATGTACAGGATAGTCCATTTCACAACTAGGTTGAGAAGAAAACGTCTGCAGTGGCTGCTCTCTTAGTAGTAAACGTGAATAACTTAGCACTTCATTTCTGAACAGTGTCGTTACTTCTTTTCAACTGCAGATATTTGCGGTCAATATATGTTTAAGTTCAACTTGCAATGAGGCTGAAAAACAAGTAGGGCAATGCCCACATCTTCACAGAAATCTTAGAGAAGATCACAAGAGTGTTGGAGGGAAAAACAGGTAAATGCAAATGTTTTTAGGAAACAAGAAAAGGTGTACTTTAAGGTACATTTTCAATGTTGTAAAAATGTTGTTGTTTTTTTTTTTTTTAATGATCCAGAAAGGCTCACTAAAAATCATCTTTAGAGAGTTTAGAGCTGACCATTCATTTGCTTCAGGAATGCACGTAGATTACCTACCTACCAGTTTGGCTACAGTTGATGTGCTTGTCTAATAGAACTGAAAGCGGTTATTTCAGGCTGTTGGTTTAGTCTACAGGAGTTGTCCATTATGTTGAAGAGTTTCAATCATACTTTTCTCAGCTGATCTTCCTGGATAAACAACCTTCCAATTGGCTGCATCAATATTTTTTCCTTTGTTATTCCCAACTGTTTTTAGCTGTTCTATAGAAGTTCTCTTTTCTCTTAAACATTCATTTACAATTTTCAAATTCATTGAGTCTCTAGGATTTCCTTTTTTATTTTTGAAAAATATGTTTAAATGCTGAACTACTAAACACGGGCAGTTCATGTGGTGCCATAAAACCTACTTGAAAAGGACACAATTCAGTTTTTTTTTCTTTTCAGGAAAAAATAAAACTGTACATTGGGACAAGGTGCTGTACTACAAAATCAAGACCTTCTATTCCCCGACTATTCTATAAATGTAAACAAAAATAGTTAAGTATAAACATGATTTTTGTGCCTTTTTTTTCACATTTTCAGCATCTTGATGCTCTTAGGTGCCATTTATGCTCAGTATAGCGTAGCACAAATTCCATATTATCATGTTCAGAGACACTGATATTTTTTTCTCACTACCAAATATCACTGGTGAAGCTAAGCTCTTTGGATGATAATGGCAGTAGGGAATTGTTTCTTGAGAATTCCTCAGTCTCTTTCAGGGGATTATTAAGGGGTATCTGTCCATTGAGTAGTGTCAGTGGCAAATTACAGTAAGTATGGTGGTTGCCTAAGGAAGGTACTGGCAGGGTGTTGGTTGGCATCTCGTGTTTGTATCCTCTGCAACAGTGCCTCATTTGCATTGAATCCGAATGGTGGAAATCAGGGAGATCAGCTTGCGATGGCACCATTGTGGCTGAGGTACTCGTCATGGCAATTGAAGGGATAGGCTGAAGTTCTCCAAAAAGCCCCTGTTCTGCAGAGTCTAGCACATGGCAATGGGATAGCATTTCTTTTTTCTTGATGGGCATTTCATACACTAAGTGCTTCCAAAACTTAGAATTTAATTTGCTGCTTTTGGGCCCCTTCCACTTGATCAGTGATAGAAGTTTGATGCTGTGCTTTAGCGATTCCACTTCCTGGCAATTCACCTTTCCTTTTAATTCTGTACACTCAATCAAAATCACTTTGATTTCTCCACTGACGAGCATGTTGTGGAGTCTGCTTTCCAGTTCGAAAATACTCCATCCCCATCGGAGTATATAGTCTGGAGTTAGCACGATAATAAGTCTTCTGCTTTGCTCAATGCATCTTGTGAGATCTTCAATGTATGCTATAAATCACAGAAAGAGAGAAAGAGTAAAACAAAGGCATTGCCAATCTTTAAAGCATTAGGTTTGCATTCTAGATCTAGTCTTTCACTAATGTCCATTGCATTTTCTCTTTGGTACTGCACGTTCAGAAAACCCATGTCTGCAACAATTTAGAAATTATGAACTGATTAAATTATTATTTTCTTTGCCTTATTATTACTTACAGTGTACTGATGACCCATACAAACTTTGACTTCTTCAGAGTTTAGCTGTCTTTCAATACGTTTTGTTTATTTAATCACTTAACTGAAAACAAACTTACAAACTAGTTAGTTTAGTAAACAAGTAATCAACCAGTTGATGAAAAATAAACAGAAGTCCTTTAATAAATGGTTATTTTACTTCTGAGTTTGGTATACTTTCCTCCTTCTTTTCTGTGTTTTATATTTACAACTTTTAACTAACAAATACTACTGGTCCACATGAATCCTATTTCAACTGCTAAAATATTACAGAAATTATGTATGTGTGTGCTATCAACATGAGAGATTGTGCGAGAGAGACAGCAGAGAATCTCTTCCAGCATCACAATCGCCTTATTTATCAGAAGATGCTCTGGCCATTCGCAACATTAGGTCCTCGATATTGTCCTTCAAACTAACAGATAGGGAAGTGATGTGTATTCATGAATTAAATAGGAACGATCCTTTGCTTTTTGGTTCAAGGACGAAGACTAAAGGATGGAGTTAGAGATGAAGATGGTAATGGAATAGAATGACTGGTAAAGAGGAAAGGAGGCCAGAGAATTATAAACAAACTTTTGTGTTGTAATTTTGAAAACTTGTTGAATATGTTATGGCTTTCTTCCTGGTAGAAAAATACTCATATTGCCTCTAGGTTTGTCTATCCCATGCATTAATCCTTTTGAGATCTCACTTCCAACAGTCTCATCTGCCATAAAGGGGAGCCCATATATGTGTGTTTAACAAATAGAGACTTGGACACGGTACTGCACCAGAAAGCAGTCTTTACTAAGCAGAGCAAAAGGCCCTTTCTAATGTACAGTGTCCTCTAGCAAAAGCAGTGCTTATGGAAGCATGGCGACATTTGCCACAACAAATCTGTCCTACGTTATGGACTGCTTCTGAGTAATCACAGTCAGCACATGTTGTTGGGAAGGGGGATATCAAACAGCTTGGTACAAGCCATTTGAAAAGAGAAACATGGTTTACAGATGCACATTTTACTGATGATCTTCTTTTTCCAGTATCATATTTTTTTTTAACCACTGGCAGCAAGACAACTTTCCAAAGCACTAATGAACATTTCTACACACCTCCACTCATAAACAACAGGAGCAACAACAAAACAAACATTTAAAAGAGATACATGGAGTTTTCCATTTAAACAATTTCTTGCTAAAAGTGTTTTTACAAATATGCTTCAGAATATTCTCATGCAGTAGTTACATTTGACAGTATTTTCGAGTAAGAGGTTAGTCACTGAGTTCAAATGCAGCCTTGAAATAATTTTAAATGCTTTTCTTTATAGATTTGGTATCCAGTGGGGAGAGTTGGTATTGCAATCTACAGAAACACTACACACATAGCAGTGGGGAGGTTTCTCACTGAGAGAACTGGTGAAACAAAATGAAGGAAAGGTGGAAAGTTTCAAGAGAGTGGAAAGATCCTATCCCAATGTATCAACAGCTCTGACTCTTCCTTTTCTTCCTTCCTTTCTGTTCCCAAAAAGAAAGAAGTTATGTGGGAAGCTTCATCATTAGAAGTTGGATCTGTAAGATACAGTAAAGTAAAAAAAAATTACTTTAAGCCTGGCAGTAGTGGCGCACGTCTTTAATCCCAGCACTTAGAAGGCAGAAGCAGGAGGATCTCTGTGAATTTAAGGCTAGCCTGGTCTATGGAATGAGTTCCAGGACAGCCAGGACTATACTGAGAAACCCTGTCTTGAAAAACAGAAATAAAGAAAGGAAGGAAGGAAGGAAGGAAGGAAGGGCAGTTATAAGGTGTCCCATAATTCATCACTGTTAAAATTAATTAACATATGCTAACAGAAAACCTTTGGAAAAAAGAATTTAGGGCATCACTGAGCAAAACAAAGAAACAAAGAAAGAACACATAATTTCTTTCTGCTTTCATTTTGATATCTGCTCTGGAATTGTAACGGAGTTCCTCATAGTTGACGCTGCCTGTGGAAGGATCCATGACTCAGGGGTGTTGTCTTCCTATTCTTTAAGTTGAAGTAGTGTTTGAACAGGAATGGATAGAGGCTGGAGTTTGCTATGATTACTCTCAACTGGACTAGTTAGTAGTGTACCTCATTAGCAGAGAGCCTAGCCAGTGCACAGAGGGCCTGAGGCTTGTGGCACCACAGAAAAGATTTAAATATAATAACATCTTCAGTAATCAGGAGAATGACAGAAAAGGATTAAAAAATAAAATACACAAAAGAAAAAACATAGAGAAATAATATTTTTAAAAGGAAAAACGATTTTCCCCAGCCGAGGTGACTAGTGACTAGAAAAGCAAAAGAAGCGGATGATCATGGTGTATGCTGAGCACTGCTTCACTGTGCGGCTTCTTAGGGTTTGCCATGGAGATTCATATTCTTTCTGTTTCAGAACTTGCCAAGTATCCAGCATAAAGGAGGGTGGCAAAAGTTAGCTAAGCTTCGTTTCAGCTGGGTGGCACCAGGCAGAGATTCTCTCGGGAGGTTATTAGGCTGTGCAAACCAAGGACAGTGCAAAGCAGAGTTGCAGACCCCCAGATACTCTTGTGGTTTTCGTGGGGCATGGAACTGCGGCGTTCTGTGTTGGGAGTGGGGCCTTTTGAATCTTAGGATCCGCCACTCTCGATCCTGGTTTTCCTGCACATGGTACGCCCTAGAAACCTTTAGTTACGTCCCTAGACCCAGAGGGCAGGCTCCCTGACTGACTGACTCTACTGCCCTCTACATCACAGCTTGCATTGCCTACAGCACAGAATTCTCAACCAGTTCGTGCTAGCGACATTCCCAGAGCCAAGCGCGTCTCAGGGCAGTCTACCAACCGCTGATGCCGGACTGCAGTGTTCTGGAGATGGGAATATGAGGAGGTTTCCACCCTTGGTGCAGTACAAATAATCGTACCATTCCTGAGATGGTTCCTAGCATCGGTTCCCCCAAATTTCTCTGGGAAATGTACCGTACTCCTTTTCTAAAGATCAGGAGCTGAGTGACGCCAAGTCGCTTAGCTCTTTAAGAAGCATGACTACGTGATGCCAGCTACTGCACTAGCGGGGTGGCTGAGAGAGACCTGTTCTCTTAGCGTTTTACTTCTGCCAATTGGAGTAGATTTCCCCTTCTTAACCAGGGTGCCCCAAGACAAGGCCTGGGGCACTCTCTTTCTCTTGCTGTGTTGTGTCCCGAAACTTAGGATTTCACTAGGTCTCTTTGTCTCTGTTGCTGAATTCAGTCCTCCACATGCAGCCATTCCACTGGTTCAATTTTGTGGAAGAGGAGGAGTGTCGGCATCCAGGCATCTGTGCTGGCCTGTCCTTGAGGTCCGGACAGGACATGGCCTCAGCTGCAGCCACCTTCTGGGCACCTTCGCTACATTTTCTTTTAAAAGGAATGATGCTTTCTAATTCATTCTCCTGCCTCGAGATTGCCCGTGTTGGCATCAGTTTTGAACTTTGGCCCAGAACATTCCCAGCGCGCCTGTGTTGACCTTAGCTTAGCCTCACATTAGGTACACAGACCACAGGCCATCTTAATCTTGTGGTCAACCTGGAGCGTTTTTCCTTGCTGGTCACTGACAGGCTGGTCTCTGAAAACCAGTCTCCATGGGGTGGCTTCGGCTCCCACTGTGGACTTGTGACGAAGACAAGCTTTTGAGGAAATGGAAAAATGAGGGAAGCTTCCACGCCCCCAGTTTCTGGTTCTTTCTACGGCAACAAATTACAAGCATAGTGGCTTCGTGTGGTTTTACTACCTGACAGTTGTTGGCCATGACTTGTGCTAGTCATTCTGGGTTAGGTCAGGATGTCACCAAGAATAAGCTCCTTTGGGGGTGCTCTGGTGTAAGTGCTGTGCTGATATAGAAAATCATTTTTAGTGCAAACAATTTTGTGAACTAAAAACCACTTGTGGGTACTTGAACACTTAGAAGAAAAGAAAGAAAGAAAGAAAGAAAGAAAGAGAAAAATGCACCCCAGTGTTGCTTGCAGGCAGATTTTATGGAGGCATTTTTTCAGTTGAGAGTTGCCTGTGTTGGCTTTTGACCTTTTCCTTCCCAAGTGGCTGTTGTCTTTCAAGTGTCTTCCACACCAACTCCTCTGCTGCCTTTTTCCATTTAAGGAATTTTCTGAAGACAGAGCCTGCTGAGGTAATCCAGGATCCATCTGTTCAGTAACCTTAGTTCTCCTCTACACAGGGTATCCTCGGGGGCAGGATGGTCTGTTTGCCACCACCTGTACAGTATGCAGAGCCGAGTGCAAACCCTCCTTTAGGGGACAGCTGTCCCTTAGACAGGTTAGTCAGGTTGTGGATATCTGGCCTCAGGGCAGGGCCTCCCTGGCTCTGGGGGAGATAGTGCAGAAGTCACTTCAAAAACAGAGTGGTAGAAACCAGGAGACTTGAGGGATTGTTGGAGGGAGATTAAAGACAAGGACCTTGCTATAGAGTACCACCAAGTGGTGAAAAGTGCCTAAGAGAGAAACAGCCAAGGCCAAGGAATGTGTTAGGTCACTGGCCACCTATGCCTTGTCTTTGGTGCCTTGGAGACAGACTGTGGTTTTGTTGTTGTTTTTGAGACAGGGTTTCACTGTGTAGCCCTGGCTGTTCTGGGACTCACTCTGTAGACCAGGCTGGCCTCAAACTTACAGAGATCCACCTGCCTTTGCTTCCTGAGTGCTGGGATCAAAGTGGGGTGAGCAGGGCGAATAAACTATGAGAAACAAGCCAATAAAAAGCACTACTCCACGGTTTCTGCATCAGCTTCTGCTTCTAGGTTCCTACCTTGAGTTCCTGCCCTGACCTCTCTGGATGATGGACTACAGGCTGTAAGATGAAATAAACCTTTCCAACCCAGGCTGATTTTGGTCATGGTGTTTTAGCACATGAATAGAAACCCTTACTGAGACAGCCATCTTTCTCCATGAGAAAAGCTTTTTAGATTCATGCAGGTGCCCAATAGCCAATGTGTCTAGAGGCCATTTATGGGACAGCAGAGCAATAGACCATTCCGTTACACAGAAAATTCTGTTGGGCATTTCTGTTCTTAAGTCAACAGATAATAGCATCTGTATAAAGAATGGTAAATGAGATTTAATGATCTATTTTATTTCTTTCAGATTCACTTTTATTTTCTTTTTCCTCCTCACACACAGAACTTCTCCACACACATTTTCTGAAGCTATAAAGTTAGCTGCTGTTGGCAAGGAACTATTTTATCTCTAAAACTTTGCTGCTCCCGGACGGCAGTGGCTCACACCCTTAATTCCAGCACTTGAGAGGCAGGGAGAGTCGGATCTCTATGAGTTTGAGGCCAGCGTGGTCTATAGAGCGAGTTCATAGACAGCCAGGTTACACAGAGAAACCTTGTGTTGAAAAATGGAAAAAAAGAAATACTGTGGGGTACTCAGTCCTAAATGGGGCATTTATATCACTCTCCTAGCATCCAAAGCTCAGGGACAACTTTCAAGGAGGGGACAGAAGGATCGTAAGGGCTAAAGGTTAGGGAGGACTGCTGAAAGGCAGTGTCTTCTGGACATGACAGGGTTTCTGCACTCATCAACTCAACTCATAGCGGTTGCGATTGCCCCAACCAGATCAGAACAGTATGAAACCTGTCAAAATTCCAACATGGATGGTGGATGGAACACAGGAAACTCTTGGAAGTTGGCAGTTGCTCAGGAAAAGAAGGGCAGTTGTTCGCAAGGATGTGACAACTTGTCAGTTGTCTGTGCCTCAGTGGATGGTCCTGCTCCTGTGCACATACACATAGCATTGGTGGATATAGTGAATTATAAATATAGGGCGTAATGTTGGCAAAAGAGATTTGGAGGAAGAGATTGGGATGGAGTAGGAGAGGGGGGTGAGCATGGATGCTTTAAAAATATACTGTATACTTATAAGAAACTCTCAGCTTGGTGGTAGTGGTACACACCTTTAATCCCAGAACTCTGAAGGCAGTGATAGGCAGATCTCTGTGAGTTTGAGGCCAGCTTGGTCTACAGAGTGAGTTTCAGGGCAATCAGAGCTGTTACACAGAGAAACCCTGTCTCAAAGCCCCCACAAAAAATAGACATTCTCAAAAATGAAGAAAATATACTTTAAAAACTTTGTCTACAGATATGATTGACTTTTGGGAGGAAAATCCCAAAGCAACAATAAAAATCCCCTGGAACTAAAGAGTTGTCAGATGAATAAATATAAGTCAATTGCTATTTTTTCTATGTCACTTAAAATAGAAATTGAAATGTGAAATTCAAAGTATACCATTGTTACATTAGTATCCCCCAAAGGGCAATATTTCAGCTTAAGTTAAAAATGCATAAAATATCTAAAGAAAAGTCCCAAACTCTGATAAGTCAAAGATCTAAATAAACATATTTCTAGAAATTTGTAGTATTTTGGTATAACTGTAAGAAACAGGAGAAAACAGAATCAGAAGACGAACCAGGGACCAACAATGACCTTCATAAGCATGATTTCTATGACCTACTTCCTTCAGCTAGCTCCTGTCTCCTAGAGGTTCATCTGCTTCCGCAAATAGTGCCATCAATTAGTTCATCAAAAGTTCAACAGACAAGCTTGTGGGGACATTTCATATTCAAACCAAAATACCAACAAAGCTTCCTAAATTACTTTATGTATACTAATTAACACTCGGAAGCTAGTAAGACAAAGGACACAGAATAACCAACATAACATTTGAAAGAACAGGGTCAGAACAAAGACACTACTGAGTTAAATTTTGCCATAAAGCTCTCAGTCCAGGCAATGATGACTGAAAATATTACTTAACCAAAAAGCAAAAATAGAAACCACAGAACAGATACCCAAGTAATTCCCACACAAGAGTCAGCCTAAACTCAGTGAATGAAACCCTGAGAATAGAGCAATGATAACATAGTGGGAAAATACTGCATTTTCAGAAAAACTAACATCCCTATATAAAACATAATGTAGACATTGATTTATATATTTTTTCCAGAAGCAACGTAAATTATAATTCTGTAAAGTACAAAACTGTAAAACTTACAGAATATAGCACAAGAAACCATGTAGGTAACCTTTAATATTTAATAATTTAGATACAAGAGTAAGGTACAGTTCATAAAAGGAAAAACATGCTAAGTTGTATTTCATTAAGATTAAAAAACCCATTTTGCAAAAGTTGAGATGATTGAAAAGGCTACGCAGTATATGATCACAATTACATGAAGACAAAATATTACAAAGAGTAAAATTAGCCAATAATTCAGAAACTACACTCACTAAGTCTCACCAACATAACTGCCTAAAAATGAGCTGAACAGAATAACAACAATAGACAAGTTAACTTCATAAAGAAATAGCCTTTCCCAGGAAAGAGCACACCAACTAGTTATCCAATACAAATTAATTAGCTTGGAAAACATACATAAAAGTGATATTATACAGACTGAGTGTAGTCTGTATGTATATGTGTATTCAATAACAATTACTGAAAAAAAGGCCACAAAGTTGAAGTAGAGTGGGGAGAGGTTATGTAGAAGCATTGGAATTGGGAAAAAGGAAGGGGGAAAATTTCAAAAATGTCTGGTTACTGGGGGTTTCAGTGAAGAAGTGAGGGTGAATTGAAGCAGAAAATAGGATTTATGAGACAGCTAACTTCTGAGTATGATACTACAATGTTTGCTATAGGAATTATAAGCGTTCCAAGTCCATAGAACTATAGATTACAAAGGGTGATTCCCAGTGTAAATTATGAGCCTTAGTTCACAATATTGCGTGATAGTTTTTCTGTGAATTGTAACAAATACCCCACAATAATGCAAGATAGTGATGATAGGGAAAAACGGAAAGAGGTACAGAGGGATGCATAAGAGTTCTCTGTATTTTTCTGCTAATCATTTTACTGTGATGAAAATCACATAAAATTTATCCATGTATCTTCTCATTTCTTATAAAGATAATAAATCGCTATTAAATATGCCTAATAAATAACTCATTTATCTTTGTCTTTCCAAAAAGTATCATAATAGCAAA